TTACTCTTACTCTCACTTACTCTTACTCTTACTCTTGCTCTTACTTCAGTAAGGTGCAAACTTTTTCTCGCCAATCGAAACGTTTCAAACGTTCTGAACGCTCGTGTCTCTGGTCTCTGATGATGAAGCGATACTTCCTCGTTCCGCATGAAACTTACACTAGTGTTTCTTGTTTTGTTTTTGTGAATTTAACTCTACTCACTAAGAAATGAACAATATGAGAAATATCATTAAATGCACACGTCAGTTTAATAGAATAAGCTGCTTTATGGGTGGTCACATGACCAGCCTAATATTGTTGAGCAGTTTACTACCACTACTAATAAAAACAATGTTATTAATGTTTACATGCCCCTTCAGTCAGTGCTCAAAACACTTTTAAATATACAAGTGCATTTAGCACATTCCGACATAAACACAGTAACAGAGTGATGTGCTTCGATCATGATTCAGTGACTCGGTTATTAATCGATTCCAGTTGTTTTCAAACAAATGTCACATTTCATGAAAACATGTTTATCTTTCAAGTTACTCAGCAGTAGACACTGCAGTGCAGATATGACCAAATATGATTTCACAAAATGAGATTTGATATGAGATTTTATTTCAAAATAGTTTTGTTATTGAAAATAAGAGCAAAGATGCAAATAACAAACAATAGGACAAATACAAGATGCAATTGAAATAAACAGCGCTTTGCATTTTTCAGATACAGTAGATTTAACAGTAACATTTCAGAAACACTACAGAAATTAAATAATCAAATGTAAATAAAACACTGCATAGTGTTCACTGTATGAATTAAATATACACAGATTCTTATTAAAGCTACTAAAGTGTTTCAGTCAAACTAATTTTCCCTGTTTATATTCATTTAAAAGTTGTTGGAACTGTTGGAATCAATGAGCCAGCTAGAGTCGCATGCTTTTCCCCCTAAACCAGCTCAGCACAAACCCATCGGAAGATTTCACTGGTCACTTCAGTCACAGTGCTGAAACACATACTCACCCCTAACCTAACTTAACCACATCCTGACAGATCCAATGATCAGTCAGCCATCCATGATTTTGCCAAAGTATCCAAACTTTCCTTGACAGGTGACCATGTGATTAATTTGACCAATGAAAACGGTGACACACCGATTGAATGTTCAGTGAATAACAGTGTCGCTCTGGTAAGATTACAGAATGACAGACTGTACTTAGCAATGAAAATGTTCTGCTAACCAAATTGAGTTTT